TTTGAAGCTGGACATTATGCTAAGAAAATGGGAGTTGATGGAGAACAGATTGTGCAGATGAGACCTTCCTTAACTACAAGATCGTCGAAACCTTCCATTCAGAATCCCTGACGATATTATAATTAGCAAACAAACAACTACTAATCTATCTATCATTATATTGTATGCAAATGTACCCAAAAAAAAAAAAAAAAAAAGAGAGAAGAACCCTAGCTAGTGATGGTTCTGTCATTCATTGTGCCCATATTTGTTAGCATATTTGGCAACTAGAGCCTTACCTGAATAATAATTCTCATCTCATTCGTTGGAATCTTAAAGCTATTTCCAATAATTTCTTCCTGGCTTCGAAGAGAACCATAGAATCTAACAGTAAGGGATGTCTGATTTACAAACAACAATTTCAGGTAAATTATCAAGCAAAAAATGGATCCTCAAGGATTTAGTGTCATTCCTTTTCCTTGTTCTTTTTGGGAAGCGTCAGCATGAGAAAATCATTATCCTTTTCAAGTTGTGAGAATGCAATTCATTTTAACTTGTATTGTATGTGATTGTTTAACTACCTTTACTTTGTATGACAGCTCAGTTTGGATTGAAGTTGATGAAAGCACATGATCCATGGACTAATTATGTTAAGATATATAAAGTATCCCAAATCAGGAATACTGGCAATTACCTCATTCACCACTTTCACAAGTCACAACAGCAGACAATTATTACGTGATAGGGTAGATCAACATTCATTTTAAAAGTACTAACTACACCAAACTAGAAACTTAAACTCGTGATACAGAACGTGTGGCCTAATTGTGGACCAAGTCCAGAGCTGTAAAGATTAAACCCAACCTCATGCATTGAAGTCCATCCCAAGATTCAAACTTCAAATGAATAAGAACTACTCATCCTAACAATAACTTTTCAATAATAACTTAGTTGATTACAAGATAATTCTTGATTGGTTACCCATCTTTAGAACATGGGTGAATAATAGTCTAGTATCAAAGTATTTTCTATGCCATCTTACACTTAAGAATGTGTTTCAAACGATGAAATATCAAAGTCTTCTTCAGTACCATCTAATGTCAATTAATGTTGTGGTACTAACGTAAACAAGGGAGCTAAATTGTTGTTCTTGAAGCTTTTCTGGTAAGAATGATCCAAGAAAGAAGGCGATAGAACAGAAAGAAGCCCAGCATGATTCCCACATTCATCCACCTTGTATCCCTCTCAAGTCCCCTGCTTTTCAGGACATCGTTTCCTGTAAGCAAACACCTCGAATGAATTTGATTTTCTTGGGGATCCCATGAGAAACAATCGTTTCTTGCACTCCAGTATTCGTTTGTCAACAAAGAATCCAGTGGGTATCTGTAAAGGGAAACGTAGTACATGAAAAGCCAGTACTTGGGGATGTTGTCTTTGGGGATGAAGTATCCGGAGAAGAGGAAGAAGGCGCCCAGAACGGTGCAGATTAGGGAGTTTCCCGATATGAAGTCCGGTGAGATAGCGCTCAGGAAGAGTACCAGAGAGCTGGCCATTAAGACGATGAGCCAGACGACGAAGGTGAAGAATGCGAAGGCGGAGATGGAAGGGTTGAGTCCCACGATCCAGTATACGGGGATGGCGAAGAGGAGAGCGATAACGAACAGGAATGGGAGGAAAACGACGGTGTTGGCAATCATGTAGGAGGAGATTCTATAGGCGCCTCTGGAGACTTCCTTCATCAGAACACGCCGCTCCTGGAGGTAAATGGGAAGTGCTTCGACAGTGGAGGAAAGGAGGAAGCTTAGACTGAAGGCGAAGAGACCCAATCTCTCCGTAACGCCTTCTTCGTCTTTCCTCACTTTTACGTAAACGCTTCCCAGTCCAAATCCCCCAACGATGGCCTGCATTGTTCTTGCTAAGAACAGTTGCTTTGTTCTGTAGATGATTTTCCAGAATCTGGAGCAGAGGAACATGATTTCGAGCAAATCGACGAAGTAAAAAGTGCTTATCAACTGTTTGATGTTATTCCTCTGTGGGATGCCGCTGAATTCTTCGTCCGGCCAAATTGGGTAAGAATATCCTTCCTTGTCCTCTGTACCAGACAAACTTGAAGCCTCAAGTTGGGGCATAATTTCCATGGCAAATTCTAATGCATTTAATTGCAATGGAATTTCAAATCCCAGTTTGTTTATGGTTTCCTCAAGCATTTCGAGACTCCCATTGTGGACAACAGAGCCATGAGAAAGGATCAAGAAGTTGGAAATGTATTGAAGAATCCTGTAGCTGGGTTGATGAATGGATAGCAGCACTGTCCTATTCTTTGCTCTTGCCATGGAAGAAAGCAACTCAATCACCTGAAGAGCCGAAGTGCTATCAAGCCCTGAAGTTGGCTCATCCAGGAGCAAAATTGAAGGATCGTGAATCATATCAACCCCAATTGAAACCCTCTTTCTTTCTCCACCGGAAATGCCTCTATTCTCTTCATCTCCGACAAAACTATGGGCCACATGCAAAAGTCCAAGCTCCTGCATCAAACTCTCCACCCTCTGTTCCTTCTCCTTGGCGCTCATTTCCTTGAGCCTGAAATTAGCAGTAAACATCAAAGTCTCCTTCACAGTCAGCAAAGGCAACAAATCATCCTCTTGTGCTACAAATCCACATATCTTCCTCAAGTTAGCCGGACTCGACATCCGTTGATCGTTGATACAGATACCATTAGGATCAAAATCTTTATCCTTAATCCTTCCTGCTATTATCCTGAGAAGGGTAGATTTCCCAGTTCCACTTGGACCAACAATGGCAAGGATTTCAGAACTTGAAGCAACAAAGGATACTGATTTGAGAATAGTTATGGGTTTAGGCTTCTGAAGCAATTGAGAGAATGAAGTTGGTAAAGATCTTGAACTGGGGCGAACTGTGTAATAGAGATTTCTCACCGTGAGATTGTGAGATGGAAGTGGGGAGTGGTAGGAAGAGGATGAAGGGCTGGTGGAGAGTTCAGGGGAATTGGAAGCAGAGAAGAGAACTAGAGAGTCATCTTCAACGGTGGGGGATTGCTTGAAACAAGCTGCCATTGTTAGAGGTTGAGAGCATCAAGGTGGGGAGTGGAGGTGGTGGAGAGGGGAGGAAGAGGCTTTGAAATGGGAATGTTGGGCATGGAGGTTGGAACCACCAGGTTGATTTTGGTGAGCAAATGTTTGGCAGGGGTTGGTGAACCAATAAGCATGACTAAAAACTTGAAGATAGATTGCTTTTGGATTACTAATTCTAGACTTTGATCAAGTTTTACCCTTTATGTGAATCAAAATAAAAAATAAAAGATTGCATTATTTGGGAATTATATTATAAGAAAGAAATGCAAGGGAATTGGTTTACCACTTTGAGGGGAAAAGAAGATGAACACCTGTGTCTGGCTTTCTTTTCTTGTCCAGCTTTCTTTCTTTGGGGTAGCTGCATTTTCTTCTGGGTTCAATTCTGTTTTTGGGCCGTTACAAATATTTTTGACTTTTGATCCTGAACCATTTTGAAGCCCAAATAACCTAATCCCTTTTTGGGCCGGAAAAGAAGCTTCTATACACATTTTTTTGATCATCAGTTACCAAACACAAAAAT